CCTAAGTCCAAAATGTCGGCATCCTGAGCAAGTACATCAAACTCAGGAGAGGCCCTCCAAATCTCTACTGCCTTAGAGGCTTTAGCTTCAGCCCTCTTGGTGGCCTCTTCAGCTCTCTTCACAGCTTTGTCAGCCCGAGCTTGCTCTTCATCAGCTTGAGTTTTCTCCTCCTCAGCCTTCCTTTTCTTAGCGGTTGCCGGTTGGGTTACTTTTTCCCCCCAAATCCATAAAGCCTCATTATTATCCATATATTTCAATTTAGAGGTAGATTTGGCTTTCAACTCTAGTCCCATCTTATTGAGGCAATCTTCATAGTCTTTTTCTTTCTCTGCAAACTTTGCTTGCTCAGTCTCCATACTCTCAAACAAGCCTAATGCTTGATTCTTTACTTCAAGCATTTTATCTAGCTCAGCTTTGACCTAAGCAAAGAAAGGCAGTGTTAGTAATAAAACTAAAGAAGAAATTTAAACTATTTAAGTTTAATTGAACTAACTCATCTACCACGGACATCATGTACAAGATGGATATGTAGTTGTACAGATGAGCTGAAATGTTGGCCTCACCCATTGGCATCTCAGTCAAGAATTGTTGCTCCCTCTCATTCTAGCTCCTAGTGAGGACGTTGGCAGACTCTCTAAAAGGGGAGTGAAGTGCTTCAATGGATTTCTTCAATGGGGATGGAGCTCGGAGGAAATCTAGGAAGATATCAAGTCAATGGCCAATTAAATTTTCAACTTTTGGCCTCTGTAAGTCTGGGAACCTTTCTTGTGACCTTGAAAAGCTAGTCCCTGCTATCGTGGGGACCAAAGGTGGAGTTGAGGTCAGTTTTTCGAGAGGGATTTCAGGGGATGACCTCTCAGGAGCTGAAGTTGCGAAAGTGGACTTAGCTGGCGTTTTGTCAGAACGATGACGCTTTAAAGATTGAACCTCCTGCTCAAGTTCAGCCTCATCTACCTGCACAACCTCTTGAGGTCGGCTGATGACTTCGGTAGGACCAACCCTCTCTTGCCTTTGGCAACATCTATTGCTGTTTTTGCGGCTTTGTATCCCAACATCTCTTATTTTGAGCTGGAATAAAAGGAACAACAAATATGTTAAATATGTGTCTATGGTAACCACTAATGGAAGCATTAATTAAGATACTTACTGGAAAAAGTTGGGACAGCTGTAGGAGCTCTGGCTGAGGTCGAAGTAGGATGAATGGACTGGAACAACCCCACTTGGAAGAGGTTGGAATCAGAGATGATGAATTTGTAGGACCTATGCTTCTTTGGAAGAGCTCTTACCACGTCAACTAACTTTTGGGTTGCTGAGGTTAAGGTCACCTTCTTGTAGTCTGCAGATAAAATTAAGTAAATTAAGAATGTGCTTATAAAATGAATGCAGCGAAATATTGAAGTTGTGATCACTTACACAGTGGGTGATAAAGAGTAGGAACTACATCCTCCATATTCACCTCCCCAGGGTGGAACTGCCATTCCCTAACACAAAGAAGAACTCTTCTTTCCACTTCTTTATTGAGGAGAGAGAATCTAGTACTAAAGGACCATCTGTTCTAGGCCTAGCACTAGCGTACAATCAGCCAGTGTTCTTCCCATCCTCTTTAATGGTGAAGAGAGAGTTCAATTGGGACACAATTGGGTAGGAGCTATTCCCCAAAAACAAAGAAATTTACTAATAATTCTGGGGAAAGGAAATCTAAGCCGGGCATTAAGGATAACAGAATTTAAAGCTACACATCTTACTGGAAGAGCTTTAGCTCAGTCAGATGAGGGGGGAATTATTAATTCTACTGAGCTAGGATGTTATATTTCGGCCTTAAGCTCGCTACTTATCTCCCGTCACCACTGATTTATACGAATTTGTCCCCCACTCCTGCGAACTTCCCTCATCCTCCTCATGAGACTTGACATTTTCTCTCTCGACATTTTGTTTCATATTTTTATGGTGAACTAAAATGTTTGGGTAAATGGAGGAGATTAGGACTAGAGTTAAAATCTCTTGACAATCCGAACTTCCAGAGGATGTAAATGAAGAGGATACTATATCTTCCTGTTGGTTGCCCAAGGAATGAACCCAGATTCTTCCGAACTCATGCAAGTGATCGAGGTGGAAATGCAGTAAAAAGAAATGTATTTTCTATTAAGGAGAATACCTGGGAACAAACAACCTCACTTAGAAAATAAATAAGACTTCAAAGAAAAGTTGTGGAAGAAAATCTTTACTTCTTTGAAAGAGAAATTCGAGAGTAAAAAGTGTTAAAATGAAAGGTAAAAATACATATAAAGAGATGGGAGATGAAGAGGCACATCCTGGACCATTAGATGGGAAAATAGGAGGAAGAATTAATGGCAAGATCCTATCAGACTAAAACGGCGTCGTTTTTGGCAAAGCGTCCCAATGAAGCTAATTTGGGTGCGCGACAGCTCATCGAGAGTAGAAAACGACACTTGTCTAGTCTAGTTATTGCTGTAATAAAAATAAAACATGGAAAAGTAAGCCACTTACGTCCAAGGTCACGCTATTACCTAGGCAAGAACTGACCGGAGAGCAACTGTTAAAATCCGACATGTGACCTAATTAAGACCGATTATTACATACACTTAGTATATATCAATTTGAGATCAGCTTTATAAGATCAACTCGTACCGTCGTGGTTCGAGGAAATATAATGATTATAGATTTCTTGCACATTGATAAAACATCCAATCAAATTAATTATTGTATTCAGAACGTACATCAAGGCACACTTATTTCGCCAATCATATGATGTAGTTTCGCTTACTCACTAGCTCATTAATTGTTAGGAAGCCACTTAAAGGACTGTTTTATAATAACCTAATAAAGCCGACCTTATCAACCAATGAAGATACGTCAATACCATACTTTTTCAGTTCGGCACTAATGATTGACAAGACATGAAAGTGGGCGATACTATATTTTCTTTTCCTATAAAAGGGTGAGGGGTATCTTTGGATAGAGGGGAGACGATTGGGATATTTAAAATATCTCTTTTGATGAAACACTTGTAACTTAGAAGTGATTATCAATAAAAATTTTGAGTTTCTCTTTATTTTGCTTTTAAAGTTGACTTAAATTGATTCTTACACTTTTTAATGTCAACTGTATTAAATTGAAATTAAAATTAAAAACAACAAATTAAAAAGGTATTAATTTGAAAATTTAAAACTTTAATTATTTATTTTTCAACAGTGAGACATAGTGGCTATTTGGGAAAGCATAATGAATAGTAATAAAACATTTTAAAGTTCAATAAAAAGCAATGATTAAAAGCTGAATTATCATTTGGATAATTGACACAAAAGTCTATCAAATGGATAGATAAGAATTGATTTGGAATCCTTGTCGATTGCATAGTCGTGTTTAATAAAAGGACAAGGATAAGACCGCTAAAAAATGATAGAAATTTATTTATTGAGATTTAAATTTTCGACATTTGACCTATATTATGTACTAAAATAATTATTATCTATAAAGACTTTACGTCCACGTCAAACACAAAAGGGCCATTGTATGCCCACGTATCACAAAATGAATATTTATATCTCCAACTCCGATAGGGTGATAGAAATAAGCCTCAGCCTTGAGCATTTTCTTATCAAAGAAATACCCTTAAATCACTTGGCTAATAAGCAATTGAAATCCTCTTCCAAATAGTGGAATTAAAGTCATCGGCTTTATCTCAAACTTAGACGCCGCAAACCCTAACACAATAAAAAGGACATTGGTGTAATAAAATATATGCATGTACATAATGAATTGCATGGTAAGTGTCGCCAAACCAAAGAGAATCTTTGTGATTTTCTTAACACCCTATATATCACATTGGCGTGTAGGTCTTGTCTTGTCTTGTCTTGGGTTGGTGTGGAGTAGAGGGAAGATGATGGTGGTGTCAGTGGTGGGCGACCAAGTTATTAGATTTGGGGTGGTGATGGTTGGACGTGAGTTGTAGTGGTAGTGGGTGGGTGACTGGGGTGGAAGATGATAGTTTTCTTTTTTCTTTTTCTTATTTTATGTTTCTCTTTTTCAATTATTTTAATAAATTAAATGTTAAAAACTATTTTGCCCTCCATTAAAATGGTTAAATGCAGATCAAATGATGGCATTTTAGTTATCTAACGTGCCTTTGGAAGGAAAACTATCCAGAGGTCCGTCTACTGCACATTTTAAAAATGTTTGGGACTTAACTGTTACGTTTTAAAGATTTGAATTGAATGGCACATTTTTGAAAAGCTTGAGACCTCTGTTTAATTCCAAAAAACTATGAAACCTGAGTAATCTATTTGACATATTTAATCACCATGACATGTAAACTTGTATGATTCAAGTCATCTACAGTCTCAAGTTATCTCAACTTTTTAATCGGCGTGGGATAGAGTGGCAGGTGAGGAAATCATAAATTAAATTCTGTAACTATGGGAAAGCATCATTTAAAATTTAAAGTTCAATAAGCATTGGAATAATTAATCTTAAAATTTAAAATTTAATGTTCATGTGTTTTTTCCGTAGGCAAATATAAATATTTTAATTATTGAAAAATAAAGATTAGAAATCACAAGTCAAAGGCCAGCATATGGGTAAAGAAAATCACAAGAAAAGCGGAATCCAACCACAGGACAGAGAAACAAAATAACATTAGACATTTCACTACCTACTCAAATATTGAGAAGCAAAAACATGGAACAGAACATTTGTTTGTGATTCTAGAGTACATGAAAAATAAAAACTGATTCTTGTGAAATTTCATCTCTCAAATCAATTCTTCTACAATTACTTGTACAATCATTTTGCCAAAATGGCACTAACTTGTAATTGGTTATAACTTACTCTGAGTAAAAGGCATATGAGATTTGTACTGATTTTTGCTTGCTCCTCTGGTAATAATAAGATATACCTCTCTGGGAACTGGAGGATTCATATTAAAATTCCTACACTACATAGTGGTATGAATAAGAATGTGAAAAACAAATGAAAAGATATCAGTATATGTCATGGGAATGAACTTGTTTTGCAACCAAGTTTGCATATATAAGCTCATTCCAGGCATCGGGTACCCCAGGAAGACACCAATGGCTGCAATCTTGTCGTTTGGTAGAGACCTTCTTCCCAGCAGTCACATTCTTCCCATAAACTGAAGGGTGACCGTCTTTGCGAAAATTGGTTAACTTTGTAACATTCAAAAACACCACAGGTGCTTGCATCTCCTTGATAACTTCTTCCAAAATTGTCATCTTTATAGGATAGCTGTCAAGGATAGGCCCACGTAAGACAGGTTCAGTTTCTCCGTTACACGATCCACCTGAATCCCAATCACCACCTCTGTTCCAAATAAATGCAAGGTAAGAACATTTACCCGTTTCAGATACTTTTCATCTCCCACAGGTGGGGGAGAAATAAATAGAGAAACACGGCATGATTTATGAGATCCTGCCAGAGTATGTTCTACTTCTAATAGATCATGAACTAGAATAGGATAATTCTCAACGAGTCCCCACATGCATTATTTTTACATGGGCACGAGGCAAAATCAAATGATGTGAACTTTACTTCATTTACTCGCACATTTTTATGCTTCATTATTGACTTCAACCAAGTAGGCAAATCGTAGAAGTAATGTTAACAGTTAAACAACATATTGAAGGCATGGCCTTTGGAAGAAAACTCAGAACAATTTCCGCTTTTGGAAGGCAATAATTCAATTTTTTTCTCTATTCCTTAAGAATGAAGGTAATACGCACGGCTGTGTGGGGAAAGAAGTTACCTGAAATGGGCAGATGAGTACCCACGATAAAACATCAACTTCCCATGGTTTGCATTTTCACGAGTCCACTGAGCCCATGTCTTGATGGCTCTTCTATATGCTTCCACTGCATCAAACTTGGGATATATATAGTTACCCTCTTTATAGTAATTTTTCCTGCCAAGTAACTTCATGCATCAGTTCACAGGAAAGTCCAATTATTTGTATTGAAACTGCCATTACGAAGTATGCTATTTATACCACACCAAGTGCATGCACCTATAAACTATCTAGCTCAAAAATTCTGGACAGACTAATCAATAAATTATATGGTACAAGGTTTAAGCATAATATCAAGAATGCACAGCGAAGTCCTTACAGTATCACTTCTTAAACATTCAGGCTCAAATAAAAAGAAAAAAAAAGAGAGAGAAGGAAAGGAAATATTGAAACAAAGAAGAATCAAGGAGTCTTGTGGATTAGTATTTTACATCAAATGGCAGATAAGTAGGGAAAAGTCCATATGAGGTCAGCAGCTAGCAATTGTACCAACTAACGTCCATAAATAAGAACGTGATATTTAAAGAAGAATTGTCATCTAACATACCCCCTAGCAGTCTTTCCATGAGTCCACCAGTGCCCTGTATTAAAGACAAGAATGTCAGCTCTCTTCCAACGACCAGCAGACTTGTCAATGCGGTCTATAGATAGAGTGGGATTTGAATTTCCTTGTCCATTGATACGAAGTCCTTCCCTAACAAGGAAGTGCGAGCGTACAAACTCTACCGTGCAATTGTAATCCTGCCCAAACAGTTCAATTTTTTTCAATTAAAGCAATTGGATATAGCTCGTGAAAGATACACAATTAGCATTGTGCTTTCCAGGAATTAACAATTAAAAACATACCATATTTGCAACTAAGATTAAAAAAAAAAAAAAAAATTTCAGTCCATGTTTGAAAGTGGTATAACATAGAATTCAGTCATTTTACGTTGTCTTCAATTGATTAATCCGCTATTAGAAGCATCATCTTGTACAAACATGAGTACAAGGAACAACTTTCAAGCATTGTGATTCTATAAGAACAAATGACATATATACAGAACTCTTCTTATTTTGTTGTGGTAAAATGTCCAGCAAAGTAGAAATATTGAAGTCAAGCAAGATATTACCTCAAATTTGAAAATATAATATCCTCTTCCTTTGGTTATTTTGTACCCGTGTGTTTCATACATTTTGCTCTTATCAGGTAGGGCTTCACGCAGAAGACAAAGAAGTGACTCAAACTGGTTTCGATTCATGGAGTCTCCTACTAGCATCAGTCTCTTCCCACTCAATCTCACCAAGAAGTCTGTAGCATTGAACCTACACAAACATGCATGATGATTACAGACTCTGAACTGGTAGCAGAATGCTAAAAACACATTCCATAACTGGATGGCAGCTAGCCTACTGATTATGAAGCATAGTTATCAGTGTTAATAGGATAAGAAAAGAAAAACTTTTAAAACTTCAATAAAATAAAAATAAAAAGACCTTGTGCATTAGACTACAACAGCTACATGCCAATTTAACACTTGTACCTACACTGCAGGGGACATGTTTGTCAACTGAGGTGATTTTAGATTAGTTACTAGGAGCTTGGTAACAGTAATGATCTGTGGTTGAGGACACAGTTTGTAAATTCATGAAATCCGCCGAAATTATGAATCTCCTAAGAGAGTTATCAATGTAGTATTTCCCGAAAATTAATGTGATAATCCTTCAATGGCACCAAAATTATGAGGAGTGAATATCTGAGTAATGATAAAGGTTATTCAGTATCACATCATTTTCGGCGCTCTGATAATAAAATGTTGGATTTTTATATCTGAAGCAGGATATTAGCAAATCTTGCTACGCGAAGGCACCAGAACTTATTAAGAAACTATTTGTTAACTAGAGGTTTCAAACGTGCAGTAAGGTCCTATCCAATTCATAGATCTGCACGAACTTAAAAATGCTCCGTGTCCACAGACTGTCATTTTCATTCATATTTACTGTCTATGAAGGCTTAAATGAGAAGGCAACCATTTGACTGAAATGTGTAGCATGAAGCTTTATTATTGAGTAATTAAATAATGTCAACATGGATTATGTTATATGTAACTAATAAGCAACGCAATATTGTTATTTGATCCAGTTTGACTTCCCTACACACAACGCAATATTCTACCTGATAATGTTATTCAATAAAATGACCATATTAAATACACCCAAAGATGATTAGCGATTGTAAATACATACAAGAATCTATTAAGAACATTAATTAACAAAAACCAACCAATTATATTATTTCTGCAATTAATTTTTCTAAGAAGAAATAAGTATGTATTTTAACCTGGGAAGATCGCATTCATCTGGTTTCCATCTCCATTTCAGATATTCATAGTCAGGTCTGCCATTGTTCTGGCAATCAAAAGCTTCATCAACATATGGACAAGACCCTGCTCGGTATAGTGGATAATTCTCATCCTTAACCCACGATCCCTTGTAAAAATCGCAACTCTGCAACCTTTGTGCTATGGCATTGCTTCTATCGTTGTCACCTTTAGAGCCTGATGAGCTGGGAATGTCAGAAGATGTCTCTCTAGAAACAGGATATGTTGATTTTCCACTGGTTTTGTCATCAATGTCGAATTTCGATGAAATGTGTTCGGTTGTTTCTTCGTTGGAAAGATTACCTTGAAATTCATTTATTGACAAGAATGGTTGTGGAATCGTCCTCTCATTAGTTTCTTCATCAAAATCAGTTTTTGATGAAACCAGTTCTGATTTTACTTCGTCTGATGATCTGGGCACGGTTGTTTTTTCAGAAATTTTATCTTGGAAATCAGACTCCATTACAGATTTTGATGAAGTGGGCACAGTTGTTTTTCCTGTAATTTTATCTCCAAATTCAGGTATATTTCCTTCGTTGGAATTTTCATCGAGATCAGATTTTGATGAAATGGGCCTTGTTTTTTCTTCAGCCGACGAGGTGGGCCCTGTTGTTTTTTCAGCAATTTTGTCATAAAACGAACTTCCAGATTTTTCATTGGAATTTTCATCAAGATCAGATTTGGACTCAATGGGTCGTGTAATTTCATCAAAATTTTCATAAACCTGAGTGGATCTAGGAGGAGTTTGAAGAAGTGGAAAGGGTGTTTGAGAGTAGAGATCTGTGTAGAAAGAGAATGGGGGCTGAAGAGCTCTTCTGCTGAAGAAGAAGAAGAATACGCTGAGAAGGAAAAGAAGCAAGAATGAGAGTGTTAAGATTGTATCGCGTTTTTTCTTTTTTGGAGGAAAAGCAGAGGAAACGGAAGTTGCCATATGCAGAGGAGAGGAAAAGCATGGCCTGGTTCTTGTTACTATTTGTCGGTGTGGGAAAAGAATGGAAATGGGCAGTTGGCCAAATGCCAATAGCCCATCGCTCCGATACAGCCACCCTTTATTTGTCAATTTACTTTTCTAAAAATAGCTCGCTCGGCTTATATCAATATAGTAAACTTGCTTATCTCAAACATTATATATATGTACCTGATCATGCCAGTGGATTATGATGGCCAATGAAACGAAGGCAATTACCTGACTATTGCTATGCTAGCCCGATTACCTCTATGGTAGATCGATCACCACGAATCCCCACAGCCTGAATATCCTTTTAATTGATTGAAAATCACATAACAGTTATCCCAAATCCCATTACCCGTTTAGTGGGTGGAGGTTGACCACTCGATAGGTGACCGACAATCACTTAGTGAGTGGACGTGTTACGTTGGACACGTGCACAATAATCGCTTTGCAATTACTTGGCACATGCATCAATAAATACTTCACAGACGTGCTAAATATGGGGATCTTCTTTTCACACTATAATTTTATGGTCATCTCTCATTTTTCCTTAAGTCATTTTCATAAAAATTCGATCACTAATTCTCATGCTGGAGATACAAAGAAGGAGATAGCCCCAACCTCTTTATCCAAATGTTCATTATTCATCGTAGTATCAGAAGCCGTCTTGCTCTGCTAAGGAAGTCGAAAGGTCTTCTCATTATTTTATTGGCGTTGTTTATGAGAACTCTTTGAACATAAAAGCTATGTCGAAAACGTGAACTAAGAGTGACACATTTGGTTGGAAACACGTCAGAGTCTGTTGCCCGGGGTCTAGACCTGCCGCTGCAGCCTCAATATGTAACACATAGTCTGTTTAGTATCCTGGAAACTCAGTCGGCTACCATGATGACTCCTTGCTAAACTAGACTCAGAGATCGGCCGATCCATCCCTTAATCGATCAAAAGTTCTACCACAAGATACACACGGACAACCGCCCTAAGTGGCTCAAACAGTTACTTCCCCGATTAGTCAACCGACGATTGCAGACCAAGGGTCCCATAAAGTCATACATCCACAAGTTCCATGTCCTATGGTAGGCTTGGAGCGCAAGATGAAAGAAATGATGACCTAGAAAGACGATACATTGTCAAGTAGAAATGATAGATACAGACAGATGGTCTTGGAGGAAGACTCATTCGCACTGGAAATCATGGAAGTCCCTTTACCAAAGGGATTCAAATCGTCGATGATAGAAGCGTATGAGGGAGTCAAAGGATACTTGATCATTTACGAACTTTCGTTGACTTGATGAGATTGTATATAGCCCTAGATGCAGTTATCTGTTAGTCCTTTCTGTCGACGCTAATAAGATAAGCTAGGGATTGGGTAGCTACTCTAGCACCCTGGTTTATCAAAATTTTTGATGAGCTTTCTAAGAGCTTTGTGGCATATTTTTTGAGTAGCAAAAGAAAGCAGAAGGCAGCCATTGGGTTGATGCAAGTTGTCCCAGAGAAAGATGATCCCTAACAAGAATATTTGCCCAGGTTCAATAGGGCACACTTGGCATAAAAGACTTTCAAATGTCTGTCGTAGTAATCGCATTAATGAATGGCATCAGCATTTAAGATATCGCTCTCAAAGAACCCTCTGAGGTCGGTGCATGACTTGTTGAAAAATGGAGACAAATACGTAGATGTAAAGGAAGCGGAGAAGGTCACAAAAAACTTCGAGAATGATGAGAACCAAAAACTCACAACCGAAAGTTACATGAAGAGTGAAAAGCCTCTGATAAAAAAAAGTTGAAAAATGAGCACATGAATAGGGGTATGCGCAAGATAGATCGACTAGGCAGAGGCGCGAAGAAGCTAAGGCCTTTACTCATCTGAACACTTCATGTGCTAAGGTATTGATGGAGATTTGAGACATAC